CCGGACATGATCGTGGATCCAGGTGGAACTGAGAATTTCAGTTCACGTCCCTTATATCTCAGCAGGTTTAATGGAATATTTAAAAAAAAAAAAAGGTAAATATATTTCCAGCGTTGCACAAATTACATTTATCATTTCGTAACCGTTTATAATGTTTTTATTAGTTTACAGTGCACATTTTGTGCAGTCGTCCCTGACTGAATGATTGCAGACATTCTTTGTGTAATGTTAGGATAAAGCACAGCAAACTTCAGCTAGTTCGTTGCAGCGCGTTGAGCTCTCTCGGCCACCGTAGATTTCAGTTCTTTGTGCTCTTTATTTGTAGCTTGCGATGCTTTAAAACTGTGTCTGTTATTAGTTATTATCATTTGTTGAATACATCACTGCCTGCAACAAATGAAATAAACCTATATAAACGTCTCTGTAGACATATTTTTGTATACTGGTGTCATGATCCATGTCTTACATTCTCCATGTTGTCTGGTTGTGAATTGTCTGCTGTCTGGTTGTAAACTATGATACAATCATACATTGCTGCAAAAACATGTTGCCTTCCATCTTTATTTGACCCTCTAACTATAGCACTCTGTATTCTAATTCTATTTTATCTATTTGTGACCCTGGACCACAAAACCAGTCATAAGGGTCGTCCAGGGCGTACAGAAAGATCCTAACTTTAAAATCTTATCTTATTTGTTTGGTAATCATGGTAATTTCAGTTAGGACCACATTTAGGACAAAAGCTATTACAGAACAGCATTTCCTAAGTTTATTATCTTATCTTAACTACAGATAGGAAGGGGGTATTACAGAAATCTCCTAACTTGACAAAAAAAATCCTAAAAACTGTCTTAACTTTAGGACAACCCCACAGCTGTCCTAACTTTTTGGCTATTGCTACAAATATACCCAGCGACTTAAGACTGCTTTTGTGGTCCAGGGCGTACAGAAAGATCCTAACTTTAAAATCTTATCTTATCTGTTTGGTAATCATGGTAATTTCAGTTAGGACCACATTTAGGACAAAAGCTATTACAGAACAGCATTTCCTAAGTTTATTATCTTATCTTAATTACAGATAGGAAGGGGGTATTACAGAAACCTCTTAACTTGTCAAAAAATCCTAAAAACGGTCTTAACTTTAGGACAACCACACAGCTGTCCTAACTTCAAAATTATTTGAAAGCTAACGGAAAAAAAGTTTACAATTGCGCTGTCCAACAATGGTATTACATTTATTAAAAATTTAAAATGAAGAGCGGAGATGTTTAATGGTAGAAAGACTCTTGGAGGACACTGAAGATGTTGCATTTTGATGACAAAACACTTATAAGTAATTACAAACTGCTCCGCAACATGATATTAGTACAGGAACTGCAACCAGCATTACAGAGACAAACAAAGCGTCACGGAGCATTACCGGTTATAGTGCAAGTGACTAATGCCTTACGTTTTTTTGCAAAAGGTGATTTTCAAAGTGAAGTAGCTTCTGTTATTTTGTTTACCTCATCAGCAGCTGGCACAGTGTTGGTTGCTAGGTAACAGACCTGAGAGTGGATTGTCGAACTTGATAATGCAGTTTAAGATTTCCTTACTAGAGATAAGATACGATTTGTAAGATAGGATAAGAATCCCAAATCAAGTAAAGATTTGCTTCTGTAATACGAATTTGTGAAAAATCCTAATTTAACATATCATATATTAAGTTAAGACCTAAGATAAGAAACTTTCTGTAATACATTTGTTGACTTGACCCTCTCAACACTTGCACTTTTCCAACTGCTTGTTTTAAAAAAGGCCACTAGCACTAGCTTTCTCTATTCTTTTTCTACTTGTTTTCTTTTTGTATGTATGTGTAAAGCATCTGCTAAATGACTACATAAATAAATAAATAAAAAGGGCCTCTAATTATAAAAAATAAAGTGGAATAAAGATTGGATTGTGGCCTTGATTAGCTTTTGATAAGATGTTGGTAAAATGTGTGTTGGTGTGAATGTTTGATATTATGTGAGACAGTGACATGTTGTTTTTAAAAATATGAATTCAATAGTGATTCACACTCAAAATCCAGGAAAATGATAGTCATGGAGGATGTGATTGATAAAGTAAAGTTTTCCTGAATTTTGAGCATGAATCACTATTGAATCCTTGTTACAAACTAAAAAGATTTATGCACCGAAACAAGACAACATAGTGTGATGTAAGCATCCTTGTAGAATCTGCTGTTTAAAAATGACACAATAAAGCTAAAAAAAGACATTTCTTAACTTGATTCTGGCATTTGATACATTATATTACCATTCAAAAGTTAGGGATTGCTATGATTTTTTGTTTGGTTTTTTTGTTTAAAGGGGTCATATGATGCGATTTCAATTTTTCCTTTCTCTTTTGAGTGTTACAAGCTGTAAGAAATGTATATTTTTGCTCTTCAAGAATGCATCAGTTTAATAAAAATGACAGTAAAGACATTTATAAAAATATTTCTATTTCAAATAAATGCTGTTCTTCTGAACTTTCCATTCATCAAGGAATCCTGTCGCTGTATAATGGTTTCCACACTTCATTAAGCAGTACAACCATTTTCAACTGTGATAATAATCAGAAATGTTTCTTTCAAATCAGCATATTAGAATGATCTCTGAAGGATCATGAGACACTGAAGAGAAGTGGAGATCTGACATCACAGGGGGGAAAACCTTTATTTTAAATTGTAAAATTATTTCACAATATTAATGTGTTTCAATATTTTTAATCTGATAGCCTAAATGCAGTTGGTGAACATGAAAAAATAACCTTACTAATACAAATCCTTAGAACAGTATTGCATATATCATATTAAAAAAAGCACACCTTTAAACATTTGTTAATAAAATATTTTTTTTATCTGAAATATTATCTAAATATATACATTTCATAAAATGCAGTGAAGTATTTGTTTTCTCATTTACAGTGTATCAAATGTAGGCTACTTTTAAACATTTGTCCATACAATTTTGTTTAATCCAAAATTGTACTTATTAAAGGAACACTTCATGCTTGTGTGTGGGGTCTTTATATTCCTATTCATTTTGTAAATATGGCCTAAGCCTAACAGTTTAAGAACAATTACAGCATAGATGAAAAACGATTAGTCCACAAATACAAGTTTATTTCAGCTGTTGTACTCAAATGATAACAACTAACAACAGACATAGTTTTAAAGCATTGCAAGCTACAGCACAACGAACTGAAATCAGTGTGCTGAATCATTCAGTCAGTGACGACTGCACAAAAACATTATAAACTGTTACAAAATGATGAACAAGATGAACAATTGCATAGGTTTGTGCAACGCTGTAAATATATTTACCCTTTTTTAAAATATCCCATTAAACCTGCTGAGATACAAGGAGCTTGAACTGAAATTCTCAGTTCCACTTGGTTCCACGCACATGTCCGGGAAACTCATTAATATTCATGTTTGCTCCGCCCACTGAAACCGATAATCTCGTAACATCGGCGCTCCCGGAGAACGTTCTCACGCTGTCGGAGCGACACGCTCTGTCTGTGCATTCATTCAGATCACCAGAAACACACACACATCTGTTAAAAATCCCAGACATTTTCACATTTATAAAGGTCGCAATGTGACGCCTGACTCATTGCAGGTGAAATTTTGCCACTACCTCCCATTATATGAATACAGTCAAAATAAATAAAAAAAACACTATAATTCACTTAAAGGGGTCATATGATGCTGCTAAAAAGAACACTATTTTGTGTATTTGGTGTAATGAAATGTGTTTATGCGGTTTAAAGTTCAAAAAACATATTATTTTCCACATACTGTACATTATTGTTTCTCCTCTATGCCCCGCCTTTTTGAAACGCGTCGATTTTTACAAAGCTCATCGTTCTGAAAAGCGAGGTGTGCTGTGATTGGCCAGCTATCCAGTGCGTTGTGATTGGCCGAATACCTCAAGC